CTCGCTGCAACATTCATCACCCACGCTTCACACCCATATAAGAGCGTTGGTAAAACATACTCTCATACTTTCCCCCTTTCTTTGCCTCCAAGGACAAAGTTCTTTGTCTCCACAGACTCCTAAGGTGCACCACTCACTCTTTTTCCCTCATCAATTCTATGATTCACCCCATCTTTCATAGACCCATCCGCTACACGTCCACTCCCAAATATCTGAATACTTCACCTCCACCATACTCTCTCCCCCCAAATTTCTGATATTCAATTTTTCATCACCTAATCTTTTTGTTATCCTCATAACCTTACTCTTTCCTGTATTCACCTTTAATTTTCTTTTTTTGCACACCCTACCAAATTCATCCACCAATCTCTGCAACTTCTTTTCAGAATCCCCCAAAGACAAGTGTCATCAGCAAAGAGCAGCTGTGACAACTCCCACTTTTGTGTGATTCTTTATCTTTTAACTCCACGCCTCTTCCCAAAACCCCCTCGCATTTACTTCTCTTACAACCCCATCTATAAATATATTAAAACCACGGTGACATCACACATCCTTGTCTAAGGCCTACTTTTTTACGAAAAAATTTCCCTTTTTTCCTACATACTCAACTTGGGCCTCACTATCCCGTAAAAACTCTTCACTGCTTTCAGTAACCTACCTCCTACACACCATACACTTGAAAACATCCTGCCACTTGCCCCCCTATCCACCCTGTCATACCCTTTTTTTCCAAATCCATAAATGCCACAAAGACCTCTTTAGCCTTATCTAAATACTGTTCACTTATATGTTTCACTGTAAACACCTGGTCCACACACCCCCTACCTTTCCTAAAGCCTCCTTGTTCATCTGCTATCCTATTCTCCGTCTTACTCTTAATTTTTTTCAATTATAACCCCTACCATAAAACTTTTCCGGTACACTCAACAGACTTATCCCCCTATAATTTTTTGCACTCTCTTTATCCCCTTTGCCTTTATACAAAGGAACTAATGCATGCTCTCTGCCAATCCCTAGGTACCTTACCCTCTTCCATACATTTATTAAATAATTGCCCCAAACCCAAACTCCAAACTATATCCCACCTGCTTTTAACATTTCTATCTTTATCCCATCAATCCCAGCTGCCTTACCCCCTTTCATTTTACCTACTGCCTCACGAACTTCCCCCACACTCACAACTGGCTCTTCCTCACTCCTACAAGATGTTATTCCTCTTGCCCTATACACGAAATCACAGCTTCCCTATCTTCATCAACATTTAACAATTCCTCAAAATATTCCTTCCATCTTCCCAATACCTCTAACTCTCCATTTAATAACTCTCCTCTCCTATTTTTAACTGACAAATCCATTTGTTCTCTAGGCTTTCTTAACTTGTTAATCTCACTCCAAAACTTTTTCTTATTTTCAACAAAATTTGTTGATAACAATCTCACCCACTCTCTCATTGCTCTCTTTTTACATTGCTTCACCACTCTCTTAACTTCTCTCTTTTTCTCCATATACTCTTCCCTCCTTGCATCACTTCTACTTTGTAAAAACTTCTCATATGCTAACTTTTTCTCCCTTACTACTCTCTTTACATCATCATTCCACCAATCGCTCCTCTTCCCTCCTGCACCCACTTTCCTGTAACCACAAACTTCTGCTGAACACTCTAACCACTACATTTTTAAACCTACCCCATACCTCTTCGACCCCATTGCCTATGCTCTCATTAGCCCATCTATCCTCCAATAGCTGTTTATATCTTACCCTAACTGCCTCCTCTTTTAGTTTATAAACCTTCACCTCTCTCTTCCCTGATGCTTCTATTCTCCTTGTATCCCATCTACCTTTATCTCAGTGTAGCTCAACTAAGTGATCTGATAATGTCTGTCTGGCCCCTCTATAAACAGTACATCCTGAAGTCCTCAACATCTATATCTCCAATACATAATCCAACAAACACTGTCATTTCCATAAAGCCCTTGTGGCATTTAGCGCTTCTTTTAAATTTTTAATAATAATTATACTTCATTTCGCCCTAATATATCGGTATACTATTTATCCCTTTTTACTATAAATATGTATTACCTTAACTAACCCCTTTCTAACAAGTTCAATCAAAGGGTCCATTATCTTTACACCTGGCACCCCAACTTACCTACCCACCCTCTCTAAAATTTCTCCTACTTAGCATTCAACCCCTACCACAATTACTCTCTCACTTGTTCAAAGGCTCCTTGCATTCACTTAACATCTCCAAAACTTCTCTCTCCTCCTCTCATTCCTCTCTTCTCATTTACACCTTATTATTACCCACTTTCTCGCTCCATACTTACTTTAATCCAATAATTCTTGAATTTACACATTCATATTGCTTTTTCCTCTTCCAAACTGATCATTTAAATAACTGCACCCTTCCTTTGCTCTAACCTTCTTTCGCTTAATCCCATTTATTTCCCCCCACTAAAAACTCTCCTACCCCCTTCAGCTTTGTTTCGCTTAGGGCCAGGACATCCAACTTCTTTTCATTCATAACATCAGCAATCACTGTTTTTTGGGCATCCGCACTACATCCACGCCCCATTTAAGCAACCCATTTTATAAAGTTTTTTTCTTCTCTTTTTTAGTAATTGTATACAGGAGAAGGGGTTACAAAGCCCATTGCTCCCGGCATTTTAGTCGCCTCATACGACACCATGGCTTAGGGAGGAAAGATTCTTTTCCACTTCCCCATGGACAATAGAAGAAATAAAAAAGAACAAGAGCTATTTAGAAAAAGGAGAAAAACCTAGATGTATGTATATATATATATGCATGTGCGTGTCTGTGAAGTGTGACCAAAGTGTAAGTAGGAGTAGCAAGATATCCCTGTTATCTTAGCGTGTTTATGAGACAGAAAAAGAAACCAGCAATCCTACCATCATGCAAAACAGTTACAGGTTTTTGTTTCACAGTCATCTGGCAGGACGGTAGTACTTCCCTGGGTGGTTGCTGTCTACCAACCTACTACCTATAGGTGCATAAAGTTGGCAGAAAATGAGTCATGTATGGCAACAGCGGTGAATGCCGCTCACCCGGTAAACTTTTTTTTACTCCCATTCGAAGGTATCTTTCTTTTTCCACTACTTATTTTTTCCAGTAACTTATGTGGCCTGTGAGACCAAAGTAAGGTGTAATGTACATATATATATACACTTGTTGTATACAACACAATAAGTTCACAAACATAATTATCAATATATTGTTTACAAAATTTGTTTACACAAACAATACAAAAAAAATTTTATTACTATTGTTCTATAATATATATACACATATATAGTCACAGGACACTTTCATATAGTAACTGGTATTATCTTCAGTAAGCTTGTGTAGTGTGTGAGCATCTGTGTCTCCACCAGCTGTCAAAATAAATTATTGTATCATTACTCACTCCCCCTACCACCTGTCAAAACAGTGGGGTCCGATGATCGCTTCTCCATCCTCCTACCTAATTACTGAATCTTTCTCCTTCATTCTCTCCCTCATTCTCTCCCTCATTCTCTCCCTCATTCTCTCCCTCATTCTCTCCCTCATTCTCTCCTTCATTCTCTCCCTCATTCTCTCATTCTCTAATTCTCTCTCACTCACTCACTCATTCTCCTTCATTTTTCTGGTATCCTGGGCAATGCTTTTGGTCACAAAGTCCTCAAAACCATGAAATTGATCTTCACCGACACTTCCATCTGTGTTAGAGCATCACTTGGGAAGAGATGAGTCCCAGATTTGCTGGGGAGTGAGATATTTCTTACCGCTAGGCATGATGAACAAGGACTACTGAAATGGCATTCCCACAGTGCACCACTTGCTCCCCAATTTTTTTTTATATGGTGCAAACTGACCATGGAGACCCATTCTCTCAAATGTGTAACAACCAGCTTTCTCCTGCTTGATTTGAAGCCGCTAGAATTTTGGCATATTAATATGTCAAACACGGTGGCTCGTAAGACATATGTATATGACCGAAACAGTCAAAGGGTTAAGTGTAGTGTAAGCAACTCTGTAGGGTCATCTTGCCTTGGTGGAAAATGACTGATGTGATAAAAAAAAATTATATAATTTTTTTCAGATGATCCTGGCACCCGATGCTGGCATTTGTAGTGTCATTACTGTAGGTCATCCTGGTACAAGAGGCTGACACTTGTAGTGTCAATACTGCAGATCATCCTGGTACAAGGAGGCAGGTACTTGTAATGTCAGTTCTTCATATGATCTTGGTACAGGGAAGCTAGTACTTGTAGTGTCTGCACTGCAGGTCATCCTGACATTACTCCAAGTTACTGCGGAACAAGAAGCCAAGACACAGGAACTTGTAGCATCAGTACTACATGTTATCTTGGTGCAAGAGGTTGGCACATGTAGTATCAATATTGCAGGTCTTCCTGACACTTGCATCAGTACTGCAGGTCATGATGGCACTTGTAGTGCCAATATCAGTGGTAAAAATGTCCTGTAAATTCTTTAATATGAAGTTACAGCGCTAACTACAATGTTGGTAATACAGTGGCAGCACTAACTACATTGCTAATAACAGTACAATAACTATAGAGTGAATAATACAGTGACAACACTAATTACAATTAATTATACAGTGACAGTATTACCTAGAATGTTAATAATCAAGAGACAACACAGAACTACAGTGATATTAACTCAGTAACAACACTTTAGTGTAATTAATACAGTGACAACACTACAGTATTAATGCAGTGACACTTTAGTGTTAATGCAGTGACAACACATCAATGTTAAAATTGTGACAATACAACAGTGTTTATAATAATTATAGTGTTAATAGTCAAAATAATGTAACAACAGTTTTGGTAATAAAACATTTACAGGGCTAACAACAGTGTCATAAGGTTAATGTGTCATAAACTGAAATATCTCCTAGTGTCTCGCTTCATATTCCTCAGATACTGTATTACTTTCACAGCTTTAGGCTTATTATTTTTTATAATAAAAAAAATATACACAAATATTTTTTTTCTACTTAAGCAATTTAATTAATGTGAGAATATTATAATTCACTATGTCTAAAATACTTGAAAAATAAGTGTGTTGAAGCAATACAATGTGCAGTTGTTCATGAAGGAGACACATTATATCAACATATACACTCACTAAAACAGTCTTCCTTGCAACCACCTCACTGTGTATCTCTGGCCAGATTTATGATGAACAAAAAAAAAAAAAGTGTGTAAAAGAGACTTCTCAACAACAGAATTTAGTATAACATATGAAAACTCATAATGAACAAAAACTATATCAATGTTCAGAATGTCTAAAAGACTTTCCTGGAAAACAAATTTAGTAAGTCACATGGAAGCTCATACTGGAGAGCAACCATATCATTGTTCAGAATGTCTGAAAAACTTTTCTGAGAAATCTCATTTAGTAAGACACATGAGAACTCATACTGGAGAGAAATCATATCAATGTCTTGAATGTCTAAAAGACTTTAATCAAAAATCAAATTTAGTTAGTCACATGAGAACTCATACTGGAGAGAAGCCATATCAGTGTTCAGAATGTCTGAAAAACTTTTCTGAGAAATCTCATTTAGTAAAACACATGAGAAACTCAACTGGTGAGAAACCATATCAGTGTTCAGAATGTCTGAAAAACTTTTCTGAGAAATCTCATTTAGTAAGCCACATGAGAACTCATACTGGAGAGAAACCATATCAGTGTTCAGAATGTCTGAAAAACTTTTCTGAGAAATCTCATTTAGTAAGACACATGAGAACTCATACTGGAGAGAAACCATATCAGTGTTCAGAATGTCTGAAAAACTTTTCTAGAAAATCAAGTTTTATAAGTCACATGAGAACTCATACTAGAGAGAAACCGTATCAGTGTTCAGAATGTCTAAAAGGCTTTAATCAAAAATCAAGTTTAGTTAGTCACATGAGAACTCATTCTGGAGAGAAACTATATGAGTGTTCAGAATGTCTAAAAGACTTTTCTTATAGAAAGGATTTAGTGAGACACATGAGAACTCATACTGGAGAGAAACCTTATCAGTGTCCAGAATGTCTAAAAGACTTTAATCAAAAATCACATTTAGTTAGTCACATGAGAACTCATACTGGAGAGAAACCATATAAGTGTTCAGAATGTCTAAAAGATTTTAATCAAAAATCAAATTTAGTTAGTCACATGAGAACTCATACTGGAGAGAAACCATATCAGTGTTCAGAATGACTTGAATGAAAATTCAAGTGTGGTATGACACATCAGAAGTCATACTGGAGAGAGATATCAGTTTTCAATATACATAAAAAAGTTTTTCCATTCTTCTAATTTAGTAAATAAATCATAAAAGAATTCATACAAGTTAGAAATCATGTTAGTGTACTCCATGGCCTGGTGGGAAAAGCTCTCACTTCACACATTGAGGGTCCGGGTTTAATTCCTAGCAAAGAGGTGGAAACATTGCACGTGTTACACTGGTGGTCTATGTTCACCCATCAGTAATAATGGGTACCTGGGTGTTAGTCGGCTGGTGCAGTTTGCATCCTGGGACAAAATTGACGTAATTTGCCTGAAATGCTGTGTATAACAAGCAGCTTTCTATATAGTATGTGACTGATGTCAGCTAGGCCTGTATAACTTGTACAGTGGACCCTTGACCAACTATTTTAATCCGTTGCAGAGAGCTTGCCCTTAGCCAAATTAATTTTCCCCATAAGAAATAATGGAAATCCAATTAATCCGTTCTAGACACCCAAAAGCATTAAAAAAAAATTTCACATGAAATATACATTTTCCTACTCAGAAAACAGTGATACAGTGGACCCTCGACTAACGATGGCATCGCATAACGTTAAATCCGCCTAGCGATACATTTTAACACAAAAATTTTGCCCCTCCTAGCGCTAAAAAACTCGCTCAACGCAATTCGTCCGAGACGCGTCCACGTGCGGCCTGAGCCAGCCTCACTTGTTCCGTGGGTGGCAGTGTTTACAAGCCAGCCTCTGCGGTCACATCCAAGCATACAGTCGGAACATTTCATATTATCATAGCGTTTTTAGTGATTTCACCTGCAAAATAAATGACCATGGGCCCCAAGAAAGCTTCTAGTGCCAGCCCTGTGGTAAAAAGGGTGAGAAATACTATCGTACCACAGTCAGCTGCTGCTGCACCACAGTCACCTGCTGCTGGACCAGTCAGCTGTTGCTGCACCACAGCTGCTGCTGCTGCACCACAGCTGCTGCTGCACCATAGTCAGCTGCTGCTGCACCTGGGTCAGCTGTTGCTGCTCTACAGTCAGCTGCTGCTGCACCACAGCTGCTGCTACACCTCAGCTGCTGCTGCACCACAGCTGCTGCTGCACCATGGTCAGCTGTTGCTGCACCAGAGTCAGCTGTTGCTGTTGCTGCACCACCATCAGCTGTATTACTCGAAGATGTGGAGAGTGTGTTGTTGGTATGTCTTAACATGGAACAATTACCGAGAAACGATTAACCCCAGAGGGTTAGCCACCCAGAATAACCCAAGAAAGTCAGTGCATCATCGAGGACTGTCTGACTTATTTCCATTGGGGTCCTTAATCTTGTCCCCCAGGATGCGACCCACAACAATTGACTAACACCCAGGTGAACAGGAAAAAATGCCTGGAACTAGTGCTCATATTGGTGAAGTTAGTGGGGAGGATGTGGAAGAATTGGTGGAGGAGGACAATGAAGAACTAACCACTGATGAGTTGCTAGATCATCTTCAACAGCAAGAGGCCACACCTGAGGAAACTGCTCTGGAGGAGGGGAGAGAGAAATTGAAGAAGTTGCCTATATCAAAGATTAAGGAAATATGTGCAATGTGGCTTAAAGTGCAAACCTTTTTTTGATGAAAATCACCCTGACACAGCTATTGCAAGCCGTGTTGGTGACTATTACACTGACAATGTTGTGAAACACTTTAGAAAAGTCATAAAGGAACGAGAGGTACTGGCCTTTATGGACAGATATGTTGTGCGACAAAAGTCCAGTGACTCTGAAGCTGGTCCTAGTGGTATTAAAAGAAGAAGGGAAGTAACTCCGGAAAAGGACTTGTTACCTCAAGTCCTAATGGAAGGGGATTCTGCTTCTAAACATTAAGACCATCCACACACTCCCCTCCTCCCATCCCATCAATCATCACCAGTACATCTCTTCTTCAGTTTGTGTGTATTAAAATTAATATTTCATGTGGTAAAAAATTTTTTTTTTCATACTTTGGGGTGTCTTGCGTGGATTAATTTGATTTCCATTGTTTCTTATGGGGAAAATTAATTTGCCTAACGATATTTTCGCCTAACGTTGAGCTCTCAGGAACGGATTAATATCGTTAGGCGAGGGTCCACTGTACATGAAGAATAAATACTACATGTAGAATATACTACATGAAGAATAAATGACACTTACCTTTATTGAAGATTTATTGATGAGTGATGAGAGGAGGGGAGATAATGAAGGTGTATTATTGCTTGGAAGGGGAATCCCCTTCCATTAGGACTTTAGGTAGTAAGTTCTTTTCCGAGGTTACTTCCCTTCTTTTTTTTAATGTCACGGGTATCAACTTGACAGTCACTGGACCTCTGTTGCACCAAAAATCTGTCTATAGAGCGTTCCTTTAAGATGTCCCTAAAATGGGACACAACATTGTCATTGTAAAAGTCACCAGCACAGTTTGCAATAGCTGTGTCAGGGTGATGTTCATCCATAATGGCTTGCAACTTTGTCCACATTGTACAAATCTCCTTAATCATTGACAAAGGCAACTTCCTCCATCTCTCCCCTGTGAAGAAATTTCCTCAGCTGTGGTCTCTTGCTGTTGCAGATGCTATTTCAGCCCATCAGTGGACTTTCCCAGTCACACAATACTTTCCTCAACTGGCACAGGCTCTTTAGGGTCAGCCCCAAACCCTTCAAATCCCTCTCTTGTACACATTGATGCCACAATTTCCTCCAAGTAGAGTTCAAAGTCCTGCAAGTCACTCCCTGCCAAGCCTTAACTATAAGAAACCATAAGGTTTATGGAACTGAGGATACTGATGTGATCTTTCCAAAACTCTCTTAGAGTCAATTCAGTGTCTGAGGTCACTTCAAAGCACTTTTGAAACACTGCTTTGGTGTAAAACTTTTTGAAATTTGAAATGACCTGCCGGTCTGTGGGCTGGAGGAGAGGAGTGGTGTTAGGAGGCAAAAATTTGTCTTTGATAAAACTAAACTCCCACACAATTCACTCTTGCAAGTCTGGAGGATGAGCAGGTGCATTGTCTAATACAAGGAGACACTTGAGGTCCAATTTATTTTCCAGGAGGTAATTTTTCACAGTGGGGCCAAACACACAATAGAACCAATCATAGAAAATGTCCCTAGTGACCCATGCCTTACTGTTTGCCTTCCACATCAGACACAAATTTTCTTAACACCTGGGAGTTTGGGGAGTGATCCCACAGTAAAGGCTTCACTTTTCAATCCCCACTAGCATTACTACAAAACATTAGATTTTAACCTGTGTTTTCATGGGCTTTTGCTCTGGGAGTGCCTTTCCTCCTGAATAATGTAGGTCCTGTTTGGCATTTTCTTCCAAAACAGGCCTGGTCCCTGGACCCATTGTGTACCTCTGTAATCTGTAAATACCTTTGTAACTTGTCATGATTGTGACTAACCTACCTGGAGTTCATTACCTTTGTAAATTGTGAGTTCATTACCTTTGAAAAATTGTGAATTCATTACCTCTGTAACTTGCTCAGCTATCAAAACTTTGAGGCCCAGTCCCTGGACCCATTTTGTACCTCTGTAATCTTTTGACTACCGCCCACAGGGTGGGTATGGGGTGCATAATAAACATATAAACTAACTTCGTCACAATTGAACACTTGTTGGGGTTTAAACACTTGTTGGGGTTTGAATTTTTTAGTGTCTATGTAATTCTTAAAGTCCTGCACATATTTTTCAGCCACTGTTTGGTCCGAACTGGGAGCCTCACCATGCTTATCACACTGTGTTATGCCACTGTGATTATTTAAAATCTTTCAAACCAACCTTTTCTGGCCTTAAATCACTAATATCCCACTAATTCCAGGCATTTTCTTAACTAGATTATCATGCAACTGTCTTGCTTTTTCACATATGATTTACTGTGAAACACTATCTCCTGATATTTTTTTTTCGTTTATCCAAGCCAACAAGTCTCTCCACATCTTTGAGTATTTGGGATCTCTTTTTTTGAAAACATACTTGCACCTTTCACAACAACAGCTTCCTTGATTGCCTTTCTGTTGGCCAAGATAGTAGCGGTGTTTTATTGGGTTTGTTATACAACCGGGCCAGCTCGGAGGCACGCACCCCACTTTTGTACTTTGTGATTAAACTCTTTCTTCCAATTCATTAGTACACCTCACCCTTTTTACCACAGGGTTGGCACTAGAAGCTTTCTTTGGGCCCATGGTAGCTTATTTAGCAGTTAAAAGCACTAAAAACAATGGAATAATAGAAAATGTATCGAATGTATGCAGGGAACCATCTGTAGTGGGCTGTAAAAAAATGGCACACTAGCTGAAGGCAAGGCAGTTAAGGTGCACACGCTGGATGGACAGGCAGACATGTTCGGGATGAATGTCCTTAGCCAAGTTTTTCATCATTGGTCAAGCCAATATTTTTATGCAAAAACACATCGTTACCTATTACACTCCAATTTTTATTTCATCCCAGATAGTTTTCTTCTGGTTAGAGCATAACAACATTGGTCAGAGAGGTTGGGTATTAAATAATTCTTTGGGAAAACCCTTTTTTTAATGAAGTATATATATAATACAGCGTAAGGCAAAATAATAATAATATTAACTGAATTAAACGTTGTTTGTTAAGAGCTGGCAATTTGGTCAAGCAAATTGGGACTTTTACTCACAACTAACGCTTTTTGTGAGGTTTCCTTCTTTCCTCCTCCATTGATGAGCTTTTTCACCTCGACATCAGTTTTAAATGCAGCTTCTCTTTCTATACCCCAAACCTCGGGCAGGCATTCTCAGAAGTGCTTTGCCAGGGTTTGGTTTTCTGCTTGTGCTTGGGCAGAAACATTTGAAATGTGGTGCATGGAGCAGGTACCGATACAAAAAATAAAACAGAGAGCCCTTCTTGTTTTTAAGCAAAGTGAGCAGTTGTTGCGTTTAAAGGGTGAGGCTAAACGCACTTGTTTGGGAGATTTTTTCCCCCCATAAAACCTCGGCTTCCTCTATGATTTGCCTTTCGGGAAAAAATACAAAAACTGAGTAATTAAAAATTACTCTCCGACCTGGCCCTTTTCTGCAGGTTCCCGGTGATGAAATAGAAAAACCCACTTGGGGTTGCCATTAAAAATTGGCAATCACCCTGAAAAATTTTTCCAGGGGCTCCATCTTGCCCCCTTTTTTTTCCTCAAAGTCTGCCAAGAGTTAGCATCCTTTAAACTTTTCTTTTTTTCAAAAAATTTAATCTTAAATTGCCTTTCACATTTCCCGGGAACTGGAGGCACTCAGAAAGGGCCAAATCATCGGCGGGTTTGGGCCCTGAGGGCATTCATATTCAGATTTTACAACTTTTACTTTCAGTTGCCCTTGCAGCCCTCTTACATCTTTTTCAATCTTTTTTTAGTCCAAAGTTCTCCCCCAGCTTTTGGAAAGCCCGCCATTTTTTTCCCTTTCCCAAAACCGGGTACAACGGGGCAGGATCCCTCCCACTATTGCCCCATTGTCTTATAGTAAAAGATTGCAAAAGTATGGAATTTTTGGGGTTAAATCGCCTTTTAAAATGTGGTATTTAAAACCACAAAAACCGTCTCTTCACTATTTAACATGGTTTTCCCGAAAGGGGCCATTTTACCTTTGCCCTTCTTACAAACCTCAGCATTGCCATATTTTTTTTTTCTTGAAAAAGGAAATGAAAACAATTGGGGGTAAAATTTTTTGGGCCCCCTAACCCCACCCCTTGGGGCCTCCAAGGCAATCAACCCTTTTCCCTTAAGGGAAATTAAGCACGACATTTCTGTGTTTAGGTTTAAAAAAATTTCTCTCCCTGGACTTTGTCCCAAGCTGAAGGGGTCCCCCCCCCCGGGGTGTGTTTGGCACAAAAATTTTTTTCCCCCTTGCTAAAAATGATTTTTGGGCCCCTCTTCCCTCCAATATTTTTGGTTTTTTTTAAAAACCCTATGTTTATTTACTTTTCTATTGCTTTTGCAGGTGCGGCTGTCAACCCCTCATTAGTTTCCCCCAGCATGCAGTCAACTGTGTTTCCCAAATTTGGGTCACCCTGATGGGTTTTTAAAATTTTTCCCGTACTAAAAAACACCCAAAATTTCTTTCAATAAGTCGTCTGTCATCCTGATCTTTCCTTTTTACCCTGTGGCTCTTTTATTTTCTGGGAAAGTGATACGGTGAGGTTTTCTAGGCCTTTTTTTTTACTAGGGTTTTCCTGGGAAACCCCACATTACCCCTGAAAGGGAACTTGTCACAGCCGTGAACCTTTTTAAAACCCTTTGCTCACCTTTTTATGGGGAGCTTTATCGTCGAACTCTCCTTACCTACATTCAGCTCTCTTTTTTCAAAACTCGATTTGGTGACCAGGGTCTATTCCCGCACCTTTCCTCTAATCTCTATAGCCTTAATGCTGTCCGTCACTAGGGATTACTTTATGCCTTGGTGCTTTTCGCTCTTTCCCTGTTGAGAACCTCTATGCTGAAGCTAATATTTCATCCTTGTCTGATCGCTGTGATGCCCATTGCCTTCGCTGCTATGTTCGCTCTCATTATCTCCGTAATCCTTCCATAAGTAGAACAGCCACCGATGTTTGTAGACATTTGTTCGTCGCCCCTGTTTACTCCATCCCTTTTCTTTTGCCTCCATTCACTCTTGTCTTCCCTTCAGTTACCACCTTTCTATGTACATGTAGCATCTCACTTTTCCCTGCCTCCCTGAGAAGTTCCAGCTGTTCAAGTCTGTTCTTTCTCACTCCCCTGCATGAAAGCCCAACTGCCTATGGTAGCTTCCCACTCTCTTTTTCTTGACCACTTCTGCTTTCATTCTCATGCCATCGCTATATACACAGATGGCTCTGTCTTCTGACGGTGTTGGATTCGCAGCAGTGTTTCCGAACAGTGTGGAGCATGGGCATTAACTATCCTTGGCTAGCATTTTTACTGCTGAATTGTATGCCATTCTTGCAGCACTTATCAGTATTGTATCTATGCCTGTGTCACTATTTGTGGCTGTTTCAGCCTCCCTTAGTGCTTAACAGGCTATACGAAAATTTGATACACCTCATCCCCTAGTTCTCTGTATCCAACTTTGGTTACACCATATCTCTACCAAGCATAAAGATTTTTTTGTTTGTTCCCTGGTCATGTTGACATACAGGGCAATGAACAGGCAACACTGCTGTGTGGTCAGGAGTTCATACCTTCCAGTTTCACATAGAGGTGTTCCATTCACGGACTATTTTGCTGTAATTGCTACCCACCTTCACACCCGTTGGCAACAACGTTGTTCTGATCTGCTCAATAACAAACTTCATTCTATTAAACCGGTATAGGTTACTGGCCATCTTGTCATCAGTGTCGAGGTTGGGAGACTACTCTCCCCCATCTTATTGGCCACACTTGTCTTACTCACGGGTATCTCGTGGAGAGGCACCCTGTTCCTCTCTGTGAGAATTATCAGGTTCCAGTATCTGGTAGCCACATTCTGTTAGACTGCCCACTCTATCAACGAACAAGCAAAATTTACCTCGAATGTCGTCTCCACTCTGCTGCTCTCTCTTTACCTTCCCTTCTTGCTGATGAACCCTCCTTTAATCTGGACTCTCTCACTGACTTTTGACAACTGATTTACTCCAAAAACTCTGATGATGATGCCTTTAGCACTCCCCACAGCCCTTTCTACCTTAATCTCTTGCTACCCTCTACCCCTGTACTATCCACTGCCCCACTGTCCTCCAGAACCTACTAATCATCCCTCTTCCTTTTGCCACCTGATACCCTCATTTCCTTCCCTGCCCTGCAGTGCTGTTTAGCCCTTGTGGTTTAGTGCTTCTTTTTGATTATAAGAATAATCTGATCCCACTCCTAAATACCCATGACAGTTGCCTGATGATACTTCTTCATTTCCTTCTCGTTCTCCTCAGAGATGACCGACACATCATGCACCCTCTTTACACGCTTGGTTTCGGAATCCACAATGGACTAATTCTTTACATTATGACCATCTTCCTCTATTGCCCATCTTTCTGACCATAGTACAGTGGACCCCCGGTTTACGATATTATTTCATTCCAGAAGTATGTTCAGGTTTGCCAGTACTGACCGAATTTGTTCCCATAAGGAATATTGTGAATTAGATTAGTCCATTTCAGACCCCCAAACATACACATACA